TTGACCCGGCATACAGTCTTCAATCCGCATAAAGTAAATGTGTGTGACGGGCCTCTCCAGTGATCTTCTGGCTTCCGTAACATGTATCTGCATGCTTCTGTTTGGCCGTGCTTGCAAGATGAAATTGATTCTGTGGGGAACGGCAAGGCCTTTACCTGTCTCACGGGGCCTCTTAACAACAGGAGCCGGCTCCGTTTCAGCAACTACCATTTCTTTCTTCTTGAGAAATTGCAGCTTCTGCCCCACGGGCACAAAGACCGAAGAGGGGAGACAGCCTCTGTGCTGCATCAAAGATTTCCCAAACCAAGCTGAGCACAAACCATCGCCACGGAATACGTGGAGACCAACTCCAGAGACTCAAAAGGGTTACCGACCAATACACGCCTGGATTACAAACCCACCGTGGGGGGATGAGCAAAGCTCATGACTGCGACCAAGGCTTTGGGTGCAGGAGACTCTACCCTATGGGCACCCACCATGTGGGAAAATCTCAAAGAGCATCACCAGAATGTGGACTCTTGCCTACAAAGGCATGACCATGTATACACATGACTCTTAACTGGTGAGTAGTCAAGAGTTCGTGAGAAACTCTAGTACTGTTTCTTTAACAAAGTCTTGCTCTGGAGTAGAACAAAAGGGGAAAAGGTCTGGATGCCATCTTACTTGTCAATTTAAGAGGGAAAAATGAAAATCTTTCCTGCTTAAGGGGCTTTGATTTCTTGTTTTCTCTTTCACCTAAAATGTTTTATTTGAAGATATGCAGGTTTGTTTTTATTTGCTTTGTTTTGCAAATCTCTCTTGTTCGCCTCTAATACCCCAGCCCTCCGTCCTTGCGGCCCTCCAAATGCATGTTTCCTAGACAACCCAGCGTAGCCCAGAGCACCTCGTTTATGCAAGTGTACAAAAAGCGTCCTTCTCTCATTCACAGCTGGCATTAAAAGGCGAGTTTATCAGGTGAGAGCAGGATTCTAAAAGGCCTGGCAATTTTTCTGAATCTCTCTTGAAGAGAAAGAGCTAAACAAACAGGTCCCCAAAGTTAGCAACAGAATGGAAAGGTGGTCACAGAATCCCCAGAAAGAATAGGCAGACTATTGAACAGGCTGATACAGAGGGCCAGGCAGTCCTCATGACATCTCTGGCCAGGTTCCTTGGGCAGGCGTCTCTGCCCACATCCCACTCCTGGCAACAGGGTGAGGGGGGAAGGAGGAGGGAGGCAGGAGGCAGGCGGGAGGGAGGGATCACACTTGCAAGGGCCAGAGTCAATGTAGGAAGAAAACTGGGACATGCAACACAGACAAACGCAACACAGACAAGCACCAGTAGCAGCCTGTGGCTTCCACGAGGCCTTGAAATAAGCGCAACAAAGATGGTGGCGGCCTGGAGGGGGTATCTATAGACCTGTCTCTGTCCCACCAGCAGGTTCAGCAGGTGCTAGGCCCTTACTGCCCCACTTGTAAGATGACGGTGGAGGACCGAAGGGTCTCAGAGGCCCACCCGTCCACCTTTAATGCGCAGGGATAAGTCACTGAGCCCCACGTGGCCTGGGCCTTTTTCCCTAAGAACAATGGCTGTACTCGGATGACCCTGACTTCAACCAGCCTCAGCCATTCGACTTCACACATCTGGGTCCAGACAGAGTGACTGAGAAGAACTCAAGAACCATGTCCAAACAACAAAACCCAGAGAAAGTGGGTGATTTAGGGTCCATCAGTTGATACAGCAAACATTTTCCCCATTCAAACTGGGGACCTAGTAGCATTTCTTTATACTGATTCACGTCACTCTGCAGAGAAAAAGCACAAAGCTCTACTACCTCATCCACCTTACAGGGAGTGGCCTGGGGAGACTGGACCTGGCAGTCTCTAAAGACCCCTTGGCCTCAAATTCTATGATGAAGACTTGCTCCTCCTGGAGAAGGTCACGGCTCAATATTCAGGCCACTGGAAATGATCATACAACTGGACTGTACTACACACGTCCCAGCTTCAATCTCTCTCTAAAACCTACTGGAGACATAATATGCCAACATAAAAGCAGAAGGAGGTGTTATCAGGTTGCAAAGAAAACTCTAGAGATTTGCTCAGAATGCACTTCCTAATGCAGTCAAGCACGCTGGTCTGAATACCAACCTGGAGGAAGGGCCCCAGGCTCATTCCTGGTAGCAGAGACTTGCTGAGAAAGCAGCTGAGGATGCTGACTGAATGAATGAAATAGACTCACCTCAAAATGAAAACTGCCAGGGAAACTCAGTCATCAACAGGAGCCCATGTGCCCGCACAGCCGTGGGACTCACGCAAGCGCCGTCCCAGAGGCCCTCCTTGTGCACCTACTCAGTGCTTCTGTGGATGGGGCAGTGAGGCGGCCCCCTGTGCCCTTGAATCTTACAGCTGTATCTACTCTCCATCTGGCTGGCTGGCCTCAGGCTTCTATTTGCTTCTGAGCCCAGTGCCACTCTTTACACAAGAAGTAGAGTCACTGAGGCTCACCAGCCTCCTCAAGGAACAGTGGGGAGCAGGGGGCACCAAGGCCTCTGCTCGCCAGGAGCACCTTTCTCCTGCAACCTCTTACAGCCTGGCAGGAGAGGCCTCTGTGTGTTCTGGCCAGCTCTCTTCCACACAGCATCCTCTGTGCAGCCAAGGATGGGAACACGGTTCAGTTCAGCCACACAGGCCCAAGCAGGTACTGTCACACTGGCTGCACGAGGCCAGCAGCTCCTATAATGCACAAGCTTACGCTGGCCCGTCCAGAAGAGAAAACGAACTACGTGGAGGAAGCTGGTAGCACAAGACTCTATTCCCCGCCTTTGGAAAGCTGTGTACACACACCTTTAAGGGCGAAACGGTAAGAGCCAATACTGTGCACAATCACAGGGCTCCTGAAAACTCCTCTTCCAACCACAGTGAGAATCACGCAGAACGTCACTGCTGCTTCAGCCGCTGATGAAAATCATTCTGAAGCACTTGGGGTCCCAGTTCTGCAGTATGAAGTAGAAAAGTAAGTTCTAAAGAAAAGGGTACAAAATACTAGTCAGCAGGATGAAGTGCACTGCAACTAATTTTGAGCTGTGGGCCGTGGATGAGTGATTTGCTTCTTTGTGCCTCGACCCGCCTCTACGGAAGGATCATATCGCCAAACCCAAGGAAGGCACGAGGCAGGTAATATTCCACCAGCAAAGTGTGTGCCCTGACGGAGGGTAACCAGGGGGAACCCTGCCCCTGTACAGGCCCACAGAGGAAAGGACAGAAGGACTCAGAGGCTGGGAGGCCAATGCAGACCCCAGGACACAGCCTTAAACCCCCAGGGCTTCTGATGTCAGCTGGTTGGTCACACTTTTCCCCATAACCAGAAATGCTGCCGGCACAGCTGCAGCCTGGGTTAGGATCCTGGCTCAGACCCTCAGTAGCTCTGCGACCCTGATCAAGTTATTCGATCTCCTGTAAAACAGGGGTGATAACAGCATCAACTTCATGAATCAGTGAGACGTAACAAGAAGGAAAGTTCTTTAAAAGCTTTGGAAACGACGTGCGAAATAAATGTCAGCTGCTGCCTCCAACGCAACTGCCATCACAGGCCTTGTAATTTTTGTCACCTCTGTTTCTACAGCTCCCAGCAATAAGTGCTGAACGAATGAGTGAATGAACACTATAAATTGCCGTGGATCCCTCCTGAAATTTAAACTGCCTAAGAGCAAAGATCGTGGCACACAATCTGGCGTTTCGAAAACCCACCAGTATAAGTAGTTTTTCAAAAGTTTGTGGGATTGAACTGAAAATTCAAGGAGACCAGAAGATACGGATTCCATTTTGACTTTTAAGAACCAAGGTCATGACCAAACTACAGATTTGGAAGGGGCTCACAGTTGCTAAAAGCATGAAGTTGCAAAGTTTGAAGTGGTTGCCTCTTATTTCCAAATTTCCCTTTAATCTCTTAGGCACAAGATGACAGAAATTGAGATAATCAATACATATTTAATTACCTATTTTAAAAGAAAAATCATCTACATGTTCAACTTTCAGCTTTTTGTGAATTAAAAAAAAATCGAATTTTCACACTCATCTTCAAGGATTCTTTTTTCCTCTAACCAACAGAAAAGACAAAAGAGTAATAATGATAAAAAATGTGAGACCAATTCCACTCAAGTTATAATAGATCAAAGAGCATGGAATAGAAAGTTTTATTTTTAAAAAAGTGGAGTACAGGCCAAGCACGGTGGCTCACGCCTGTAATCCCAGCACGTTGGGAGGCCGAGGCAGGCGGATCACAAGGTCAGGAAATCAAGACCATCCTGGCTAACATGGTGAAACCCCGTCTACTAAAAATACAAAAAAGTAGCCGGGCGAGGTGGCGGGCACCTGTAGTCCCAGCTACTCAGGAGGCTGAGGCAGGAGAATGACGTGAACCCGGGAGGCGGAGCTTGCAGTGAGCTGAGATCTGGCCACTGCACTCCAGCCTGGGCGACAGAGCGAGACTCCGTCTCGAAAAAAAATAAAAGAAAAAGAAAAGAAAAAGAAAAAAAGGAATGCATAGAATTCAATGCAATTAAAATAAATCTAAAGTTTAAAAATTTTTAAATGAATCCAATCGGTATCAAATGTAATTGCCAATGAAGAAATCATCCAGGAAATACAAACAGAAACATAACAAGCCACCACTTTATACCCAGCAGGATGGCTAAAATAAAAAAAAAAAAACAATAGTAAGTGCTGGCAGGGATATGGAGAAACAGAACCCTCACCCTTTGCTGAAGGGATGGTAAATGGAGCAGACCCTTGGGAAACAGTCAAAAGGTAAAATGTAAAATTCCCATATGAACCAGGTATATCCCAAGAGAAATAAAATCACGCCCACATAAAAACTATACTAAATGCTTACAGCAGCACTGTTCATAATAGTCAGAAGTGGAAACAACCCAAACGTCCATCCACTGATGAATGGATAAACAAGATTCCATATTCTACATGGAATATTCTATATGGAATATTACTCAGCCGTAAAAAGGA